GATCCACCGGGCGAATGGACTTTCATGTTTTCTCAACATTTCATGATCCCTAAAGTATGAAAAAGTAGGTCTGCCTATTCCGTCTGTCTGTCTGCTGCCTACCTTCTGTCCGCTACTTGTGTCTATCTATAGTTTACGTATACAGATCTTCGAAAAATTAGTCCAATTATCCCCACTAACAATTTGATGACGTTCCCTCAAAATTTTTCGTATTAAATAGTATTCAAATTTGATAAAATAACATATTCCTGTATTTGTAGTTTATGAATCTATCTTGAGGTTTCCTCCAAGGCATCCAAATCTTCTCAAAAAAATCGAAATTGTGTAGCCATCTTTTATACTAATATTACTGGAGCTCGCACAAGGTTGTTCGAGTACCTGCTAAGATAAGACTGATTTTGGCAAATGACGTAACCCCTAAGAAAAGAGAGGGTGGGTGGGCGGGGCTACTACCTGCTAAAATAAGAGTGATTTTGGCAAATAACTTATCCTTTAAGAAATTTAATTAAATTATTATAAGAAAAGACACTTGAGACTTCAAAGCATTTTCAAATTCTTTCCAAACAAGAGTATTTAGAACCTCAAGATTGTTTTCAATTTTTCAAAAAAAATCGGGGTCCCAAAATTAAGTCAAAAACGGGATATCGAAATCTACAAGAAAACGAGTTCAACTCATATTTCGAAAATGGTTGAAAATCGTCCAAAAATATTAAAAATGCCAAAATCAGTTTTATCTTATCAAAACTAGCCCCGCCCACCCACCCTCTATTTTCTTGGGGGGTATGTGATTTGCCAAAATCTGTCTTATCTTAGCAAATATTAGCCCCACCCACCCACCCCATCTTCTCATTCTAACGACTAATTTTATTTCTGTTCAATATAAGATCATTCCACCGATTCAGAGGGGATAAAACCAATCACCGAAATGGAGGCCGGGTGGGTGGGCGGGGCTAATTATCTTCTTCTATTTTGTAGGAGTGGAAAAACGATATGAAAGAGTGCTAAAATCAGTCTTATCTTATCAAATAGTAGCCCCGCTCACCCACCCACTATTTTCTTGGTAGCTATGTGATTTGTCAAAATCAGTCTTATCTTAGCAAGTACTAGCCCCACCCACCCCCCCTCTTCACATTCTAATGACTAATTTTATTTCTTTTCAGTATAAGATCATTCAATTCATTGATACCGGATAAAAACAATCACTAAAATAGAGACAGGGTGGGTGGGCGGGGCTAATTATGTTCTTCTGTTGAGTGGGAGTGGAAAAAGGATGTGAACAAAGTAATTCTATTTTGTAAAACAGAAATTTATAATTATTTCTTTTTTTATCTACAAAATTTTTATACCGAGCTATTTTGACGGAACTGTAAGTGAAGTCGAAAATGACTTCTGGATCTCGAAATCTACAAGAAAATGACTATTTCAAAAATTGGTCGAAAATGTCAAAAATACTAAAATGAGTTTTATCTTATCAAATACTAGCCCCGCCCACCCACCCTCTATTTTCTTGGAAAGTATATTGGACGATTTCGGACTTGTTTGCCGAAGGTAGCGCACGTTTGATACTCTCATAGGTTTTTTCTGTTTCTTACACTGTTACTGCTATATATGTAGTTTTACTTTCAGAATATAAAACATAGTACTGCATCCACTGCGTGAAATTTTTACGTTGAAGATGGACTTAACCTACTCCAGTCACACGATATAAACGGATAAATTTTCAGTTGCCATCCTTCCAATAACCTTAAAACTTTTTCAAGATTTCACAGCATTCGGTTTTGCAATGTAAAATATTGATTTTTTCCTAAAAATCTGGATGTCTAAGGTAAAAATTCAACACGGACTCATAAATCACAAGTGCAGGAGTATGTTATTTTATAAAATTTCATCATCAAATTGTTGGAGGGGATGATATGAAAAATCTTATTTAGCGAATTACACGATATTCATAACATACACACATGGTTCCGAAGATTATCTGTGTAATAAAGTGTGGTGTGCTTTGAGACTTACTAACTGCGGTTTAAATTGTAAACTAGTATACTTATTAGTGACTTACATTTTTTTACTACTGTTTAAAGGAAGAAGAATATAAAAGTGCTCTTTGAGTAATTATTATTAACAACGGTATAACAAAAGCCGACACCTCATAGTCTAAATGAGCATCTTTTTTAAGGGTGCATGTAAGAAGAATTTACAACCAAAGTTAATATTTACTAAGGAAAAATTCTCAGCAAAACAATAATTAAATACAACAAAAAGTTATCAAATTAGCTATGCCTTTTTAAAATTTCTTGCTGAAATGAACATGCCTGTAGCCGTGTTCCTATATGAATTACATCATGTGACAACCATTTGCCTTGTAAACACTTTTGAATGAAGTGTATTAACATTTTATGTGCTGAACGTGTACTCAGAACCTTCAACTCTAGATCCTATTAATTGTTATACTTTGTAATGAAACGCCAAAATGTTTACCTTATACCCTCAACCAATAACTAGCACTATATTGTTCCAAAGAAGCAATGTTGTGAAATATGGATCGGAACAAACCGGAACGGCTGATGTCCGGGTTCTTGTTCTGGTATAAGCACTAGACTTCTATGGTTCCGGTTGGTGTAAACTTCATTAAAACGTCTGGAACACATGGTTAAAACAAATACGAATGGTAAACACGGGTATGATCACTTCTGACAGATGTGTTGTACATTGCGTTTCTACTTAAACAGTTTGCATAAATCAGCATTCTGCATTCGCTAATAAAATTCAAAATGCTTGATGTAATTAGTATCAAAGAAAATACACAAGTAGGAACATAATGCATCTGTTGTTATAACACGTTGCATCACTTACAGAAGAAAGTTGTGATGCACAGATGTTTGTCGGTGTCAATTAGTGTTTGAAACCATTACGTTGATTTCAACAAAGATTGTTAATAAGAAGGGTTATTTTGAAATACAGTCAGAATTTAAATGGTAATAATTAAATTTTTATTGTAAGACCAAAAGTTGTCAAACAAGTGTTGTTGTGTATGTATAAAAACATCGATCATTTTTTTGTTCTAAAAGTTGTTTATACTTGGGATAAGATGAAGATAAAAAATCCAAAGAAGGAAGCCGCATACTTTGCGCCTACGTATGTACATCGCCAGTGGTCTGCATGAAATTTATACTTTTTGGAATCATTACTTTTTTATCTACACAATCAGATGGTTCATGTTAACTAGTTAATTTACCTACATTTTTGCAAGCTGCCCCAAATATTAACGACTTTGCTTAAAGCGAACCGATGGCTTTTAATTCTTGCGTGTTTAGGAGATTGCTAACTTCAGTCAAACTGCATAATTACAGCTGGTAAATTTTTAAAGGCCATTTTGATTGAAAATTGATGAACGTGTTAATGCGGTATGCATACTAATGCGGGTGAATACTGCATAAATTGAAAATATTATGCACTGGAACAGCATAATTCTGTCGGATAAATCAGATTAGCGATAATTAATTAGTTCTATCTTATTATAAGGGATAATAACCTTGATTATTTTTTTAAGTTGTAATAAGCATTCGTATGGATTTTAAAATCAATACATTTTTGTAAAACACCAAATTTTTACTCTATTTTTAATTTTTCTCTTCAAAAATAGACAATATTTTTTTTAAGAAAAAAAGAACTAGCATAAATTATATTTAAACTGTGTACGAAATGTATTAAAATGATTTTTATACGTATAAGTAAATTTAAATTAGACGCAGAAAAAAATTATGGAACTTGTTACAATACAGACGGCAAAATTAATATTTTATCATGAGAAAATGAATATAAATAAACTCCAAATTCCAAAACTAAATTAAGCAAAATATGAATTTTGTATTCTAAATACATGTTAAATGTGTGTAATTTTAGAATAAAGCTATGTGCTTCATCATACGATTTAATATTTGATGATCAATTATTTTCGGCTGTATATAATACTTTTAAACATTTTTTTTGTTCAAACTATTTCTGTCAAGATTATAAATAATTTTAATTCCTTAAAATTTTGATAAGTAGGTAGTAGGACAGTAATAAACTGACACATGACTGCCCGGATTGTCTTTTGCACGTTCCATATATTAGTAACATGTTTCGTAAAAGTTAAGCCATAAACATTTGCGATGATTAAACAACATTTTAGCTCAAATTAGGTAAATTATGTATTTTTAGAATTAATTTCTTACACAACTTCAGATCATCTACACAATCAAAATTTTAACGGCTAGAAAAAGGAAGTTGGTAAATAGAGATATTCCACAGGGAAAGTGACATTCTACTGCAATCATAAACTGGATAATGTTTTGATCGAGAGTGACAGTTTTTTGCCTCAGGCCCATGTATAAATTAACAAAATCGTTTCACATTTGTCAGATTTTTATTATTTGGATCGAATTTAAATACACTATCGCGGCGTTGTTTGTTCAATTTGCCTTTTTCTTAAAAATTTTCAAATATGTCTTTCACCTGAAGTATTTAAAGTAATATTACTGAGCTTTGTTGTTACGGTTTAATTCAACTGGATTGGTTCTATGCTATTTACTTGTTGGATACAATGCATACGTGATTTTTTTATTAGGCTTTATCTTTTCTTATTTAAGTTACGAGAAATGTATGTGTGGTTCATTATTATTAACACCCAAACGTTATTAAAATCATTGAAAGATAGACATGTGCTGAATTTCTAAGGCATCGTTCCATGCAATTCAAATAATCGACGTTGTTGAATAACCATCATCTTCTCGACTTTCTCCGTAACTGTTATAAATCGAGCTGCACGTAGCTGCGTTGAAAGATACGCATTAGCTAAACATTTGTTCTAGAATCTGAATGTGAACTTTCTATATTCACTAATGTATATTATTATAAACACCAGATTACTAATTAAGTAATATTACTTTCGATTTAAAACGGCACTTTCTAGATAAACATACGTTGCTCTAGTAAATATCGTGGCATAACAAACGCAGTTGTTGTACGTAGAAATGATTTATTATAAAAGTAGATAAATTACACTAATTAACACAGTTTCTAAGTAATAATACTGCACGCTTCATGAATTTAAATGAGGAAACGATTTAAATTGAGCAAATGTCGAAATGAAGTACATTAATTAGCGCGTTTAACAAGCACAAAGATATAAAAAAAGTAATTACATAACAATGAATAACGATCTAACAACAAATCAGTGGTGATACCCCCCGTAAGATCCTTCCAAACCACCCAGTTCTTCGTGGTGCGAATGGATCTTAATCGGTATGTGCACGGGAATTTTGACTGGAACTGGCACCGGTTTTTCTACCGGGTACGGAATTTCTTTGTACACGGGATATGGTTTATCCACGGGTACTTTAACTGGTACTGGTACAGGCTTCTCGATCTCGACTGGTATCTTCCTTTCAACGGTGTAGGGTTGAGGTACGGGTACCTTGACGTGATATGGGACAGGTTTAGGTACCTCGACGGGATAAGGCCTGTCGACGGGTATTTTTACTTCATAAGGCACTGGTTTTTCTACTGGTACTGGAATGTGTTTTTCGACAGTGACTGGGTATGGTTTTGGTACGTGCACGGGGTATGGCCTATCCACAGGTACTTTAACTTCGTAAGGTACCTTTTTCTCCACGGTGTAGGGTTGTGGAACTGGAATCTCTACCTTGACTGGATACGGAACTTTCTTTTCGACGGTATAGGGCTGTGGTACGGGCACTTTGACTGGAACAGGGATTTTCTTCTCGACGGTGTAGGGTTGGGGAACAGGTACTTTGACTTCGTAAGGTCTTGGTACGGGTACTTTGACTTCATAAGGAATCTTCTTGATGACTTCGTATGGTTGAGGAACGATGTATGGTACTTTAACGTACTCCTTAACTGGTACAGGGATTTTCTTTTCTACGGTGTAGGGTTGAGGTACTGGAACTTTAACCTCATATGGGATTTTCTTTTCCACATGGTAAGGTACGTGCTTAGTAACAGTGTAAGGGACTGGAATTTTCTTCTCAACCACGACCGTCTTTACGTGTTCGTGGTGTTCGTGGTGGTCGTGGCCACCACCTCCACCGATGTCACCAAGACTGATTTCTCCTCCGTAGCCTCCGTAGCCTCCGTGTCCCCCAAGCTCCAATCCACCGCCGCCGAAATCATGTCCACCCAAGTCTCCGCCACCAAATCCACCATGGTCGCCGAGCCCGATGAGCCCGCGTTTTTCCTGTTTCTTGGTCTCCTGCGTTGCCTCTTTTTGTTCAGGCTCAGCAGCTAGAGCCACGCACAGGCACACAGCGCTCAATACAATCTGAAGCAAAAATAAAACATGTCAAAAATTTGTGCAATCAATTAACCAACTATTCAGGAAAAAATAGTGAATACACATCAACGTCTTCATAATAAAATTGACACCGTAATCCCTTAGTAATTGCTTTTTTTCACTAAACACGTTGACGTATAATTCACTGATTTTTATCACTGAAATCACTACGAACACTGCACTGTTCTTGCTGCAGTACTCACCAAGGCCTTCATGATTGGAGATGTGGAAGGCTCTGTGCTGTTGAAACCGCGCCGGAGGCTTATATATCAAGCCGTAGACGTACTTTCTCATGTGTAACAGTCGTTCACCACCAGAGGGTTTCACTTCCACATCCGTTAAATCTTCTTATGCAATGTTTTTCAGATTTTTTAGATCAATGTTATCTTTCAGTTTAAATAAACAACTCAAAAAATATGCATTCGTTAGTTATATTCGGCGACAGTTTTTTTTATATGTAGAAGATATGTAAGAAAATCAATCTACTTTCTTTCTTATGTTGTAAAAGATGATTTATTTAATAACACCACACTTGAACTTAGCAGAACTTGTCAAACATTAACACGGTTATTGAATGTAATAGATCTTTTCTCAATCGGTGATTAATGTTTAGATAATAAAATTTATAATTGAACTTTTTAAAGAAATCGAGCTTTCGTGATATTAATGCAAATTAATGCAATAAACAGGACTAATGCAATTAATTTAAGAATTCAATTAAAAATTTTAAATAAAAAAAAATCATAATGTGGTTCAAAGCAAAAACTTCACTTTCTAGTCAATCTAAAAATAAAAAATTTAAATATTTTGGAAAACTTCGTTAAGTATTCAAATATGTCCTTATTTGATTCTTGTTGTTGGAAGTGTAACGTCGCTGTGCCAGTTTAATATAACAAAGTTTATGTATTGTAGATACGGTTACTTTTTTTACAAAATTCAGTATTTGAAAGACATTTTTTTAACTTTCTTATTAAGTGCAAAATGGGAGAATGAAAAAAGTATAGGTCCACATTTTTGAAGTAAAAAAAAATAATAATAATAAATGTATGTACATATGTGAAAACTTCTGTATTATACGTCAGATAATAATTTAGACAAGTTTCATAGATTTTTGGTTTATTTATAAATAGCAAATGAAAAAATTGGTCTATTTATTTATTTAGACAGAACTTCCCACGTCCCTTAAGTACAATCAAATAAATCCCGATTCTTAAATAAATTAAAACATTTGATTTTGTGAATTGTATTTGTTTTATTTTAACTATTGTAGGTTAAAATAAAAGTAGTGGGGATTATTAAACCATAAATAAAGCGAATTTTTCTTAATAACATTTTATGATGATGTCATCAACTTTTAGTGGGGATCAATAAGATCAACAATCAAATTAGATTGTACCGATATATTTGTCCCCAATAAAAAGTAACGTCAGCACAAAATTGTATTATTAAAAAACTCACATGTAACACATACACAGCATGCTTCTTTACCTTCAGTTCAATAATTTACACCTATTTTTATTTTTATTTTAAAATTCGCAGAATCAAATTTTATTATTTATCTAAAAAACTGAATTTGTTTGACTGTGCTTCAGGGGCGTGGAAAATTGTGTCTTCAGATCAGTTTTTATAAAGCAGAACTTACGTTTTCTATATTTTTTTAAAAACTTAATTTTGTGTGTTTTGAGATTAAAAAACTAAGTGAAGTCGTTGTATTAAAACGTGTACAATTTTTATTTTAACAAATACAAATAACCAGATGTTAATTTGGCATATACTTATAATAATTTAAATACATAGTTAGTTTTGTTTGTGGTATTTTATATGTCAAAAATTCATATCAAAGTCAGACTGTCATAGCCACATACAAGGGAAATAAATAAATATAATTTGGTTAGAAATTTTGCGGTTTATGGTTGCAGAAATTTAGTTTCTTGGAAAAACAACAGCTGGTACAAAAAAAAAAATACTTTTGATGAATGTCCACGTTCCGTTTCCTAAGTGTTTCACAGTTGGAAGATTATGAAGTTACAGGTTTCCTATTTCATGTACCTACTGGTCTGCCATTTGTCTGTTTGTGTAACAGTAAATCATAATCACTAATTACTGTACTGGCTTTTTGAAATTTAAAATTGAAAATTTTCATAAAAAAGACAAAATACTAACCCCGACAAAGTTATTTTCCGCTTCAAATATATACAGGTGTCCCAGATAAAACGCCGCGGCTTCGTATCCTCAGAATGGACAGAAACATTAAAATTTTGTAAACACCTTTGTTCTTAGCTTAAAGGTGGAAGCTTAATTTAGTATATTGCAAATATGACCCATAAATTTAGCGTCCACCTCGCGACGCAAATCCATATTTTTCTAAATTACGACTATATCGCCGGAAATGTATGAAATGGAAAAACCGAATATATTTATTTAAATAAGATGGAAGAGGAAATAACAACTTCCTTTCACAAAATATTTCGTAAATATTTCAGTATTATGTTATTTACACAATGAACTTAGACACAATGGGCGAAAGCTATGAAAAATGTTATTTAAAATGGAACATTCAGACAAATACAACAAAATCCTTATTTGCCAATATTTACAGCCATAATTTTCATGGAAATAATAATAAAAACCATCTAAGTTGTTTTGCATGTAAAAATAGATTACTGCATAAATGCCATGCTCTTTTCGTTTTGAAACGTCTTTTTTTATGACTTGAGCAGCAAAATTGGATATTTGATCATTTTGCAACATTGTCGTGGTCTTGCCAATATTATTGCATTATAACTATAAAGATACTCAGACTATTAAATATTCTACACATCTTACATATTTCACAATTAAAAAGGCGCAAAAATGTGAAATAACAAGAATTTGAATGAGTAGGTGTTCATAAATTGATGTGTTACGTAGATACGGTGCGATCAACACAAATCGTCCTCTAGTTGGCGCTAGACGAGTAAGCTGACTTTCTCATCTGATATGCGCAACGGGAGTGCTGATTGTCCAGCGCCAACTAGAGCACAATGTTTGTTAATCGTACACTGTTATTGCTGGAATTTTCATGCCATAAATAACTTTAAATATTTTTGTTCTTATTTAAGCAACTAACAATTTTTTTATAAAATAAAAAGAATCAGTGATTTACAAAAATTAGAGTCTAATGCAAGACTGCTATTTCTGCTAACACAATACAATCATATTTATTTAAAATTATTCAAATTCTTTTAAGTGCGATGGATCAAGAATCAGTTTAGAGCTATATTTTAAGGTTGTGGTTTATAGTTCTGAACTAATTAAAGTCGTGAGTAATTACAAAGTGAAAAAGCTAACTATCTATTATACTTTATAAATAGTCTAAAAAATGTGAACGCTAATTAATTGAATATTTTCCAATTTAAAATTGTAGCGATGCGTGATTTTAACTGGGGCAACGTCCTTAAAATTAACTTTACATAAAATTCGTTATGCCAGAAATTATGCAAGTGAACTGGACTCTCTAAATTAGCATAAAAAATGGTCCTGTTGGAAACAAGCAACCGTAGGTGTTTGTGTAATTAGAGTTAATTTATTATTACCCATTTGATAGGTGTTTTATTAAAACTGGCAAATTCTGTATCGCTTGAGTACAAAGTAAAAGTTGAAATCGTGACGAGAATGTTGTTTACTATATTAACATAAAAAATCGAGGAGCATCTAGTATAAGTACAAAGAAAAAGGAAGTGTGTGTGGTAGTTGAACATTGACTATGTGCGAAAATTATTTAAAGCAAGATTTTATATAAGAGTTTTGTGTTTTTTTTAACTTTTTCTTCTAGGCAATTAGCATAAATTCTGGTTCACATTCACTTGCACGATCATACTTTCTTTCCATTAATATTCCTTTTTACGAAATCAAGATCGGTACGGTAATTAACATTGGTGTACTCTTCTCTAAATTATTGGGGTATAGCTTTCTGAACATACCTAGCCAGCGTTTATGCCAGGTGTAGATTCGTCCAATTCTACCTGTTATTTGGCATAGCGCACACAAGTGAGCAAAAGTTACGCTTAAAAGCCCACAAGTAAACCGTTATTACAGTAATTGGCGCAACAAATTGTTTTGTGAAATTTACCAAATCAGACTGAAAGAAATTCGAAAATTTTAACTGCCGCTGCTATTATTAACAAGGCGGATCCCACGTTAAAATGGTCACATTTAAACGCCTCGATAAGCAAATTACTCCGAATGCTGAAAAAAATCGTAAAACTTTTATGGTGGCTCTGAAAAATGATTGCAGGTGTAAATTTGAGTCAATCGTTAAGCTTCGTATCAAATTATCAACTAATGGTTTAATTCTCGAGATTAATTTTATTGTGGGCTAACCATGAAAAATATCTCTCGACTAATTTCAGATTATTTTGCATTAAGAGTTTGCAGGTGGGCGATATTTTATTTTCATTAATGCCAGAGCTTTTGTGTATAATTCTGACCTTCATCGCACTCAAATGAATGACAGGTGTGACGAGCAATAACCAACACAGAATGATAAAGTGCTAATTTTCACGAGGTATCATGATTTTCGTCACAATTTGCTTTTTTTTACACGACGACAATAATAATTTCAACTGACATTAGAAAGTGTGAAGGAAATATTTTTTCAGGCACCATACGTAAAGTTTTTGCGGAAGCGGCAAATGACAACATTATAATAATTATGTAATAATAGTACAGTTTGATATAATTTTTTAGACTGAATGTGCTACTTCAGTTCAATGTAGGACTTGCTTGTGTATTTGCTTGTCTCTGTCTGAAATTGGAATAAATTAAAGCTCGCGCAAATAAATTCTAAACTTTTTACCTATGTCTTTTATAGGTAAATGCTGACTTTGAATCGCCAGAAGAATCTGGTTCAGTCGTAATTATGGCAAGACCTGATTTTGCAATTACAGTTTATTTACTTGCTTACATGGGTAACTTTCACCGATCAAATCTTCGCAGTCCCGGGGCATATTTCATCAAATGAAATATGATTTCATGCGTTTGCGTTGTAGTATTAACAATAACAATAGTAACATAATGAGACTGTGTTGTAAATATTACATTCACCGACATCAATTATTCTAATTGAAAATTTGTTCGTGATAAGAAAATTGCTTAAATATAGAAACAGATTTAGGTCAAAGAATGTAAGAATACAGACTATGATTTCGTACAGAAACGCTGGTTTAACCGGATTTGCATTAGGTTCGAAGTGCGCTTAGAACTCA